TAAGACGGTAGTCTGTTCCTTTGTCTTAGCACCAAGCCATATCAACTAAAGGTCAGTGCTGGGTGGATCTCTGTGAGTTCCAGGCCAGCCTGGTCTACATAGAGAGTTCCAGGACAGCCAGGGCTACACAGAGAAAAATCCTTTTTTAACAAACAAAACAACACCCCAAAAAACAAAAGTCAGATTACCACACCTGAGTAGTGTGATGATATTTTGTTTGTGCTCTAACAATTAAAGCTTGTCTGGAGATCAGAAGGCAGAGCTAGCCACTAGTTAACCATAGAGGTCTGGAGGGCTGTGCAGGCAGACAGGAAGTGATAAGGCAGAGCAAAGACAGGAGCTTGGACCTTTGCGGCTGAGAAGTTGTGGGGCAAGAAGTGGTTGTGTCTTGCTTCTTTGTCTATCTGATCTTTCAACATTTACCCTGTAACTGACTCCGGGTTTTTATTATTAGCACCCATTAGAACCTGTGCTACAGAGTAGACCTTTGACAGCTGTACAGGATTATGTATTCAAGGAGGCCCGATTCCCCACACTTCCCTATTGGGTAAAGGCAGACTAAGAGTGTAACCACCCTGGTGGGAATTACTTCAGAGGCAGAGACAGGCGGATTTCCAAAGAGAAACCCTGTCTCAGAAAAAAATAAATAAAAGTAAAATAAATAAAGTAATAATAGATAAATAAATAAGCCACGCAAAGATGAAAAATACACTGAGAGTCTGGATACTGTATACTATTGTGTTTTTCAGTTTTTTGATTACTCAGGAAGGAACTGCTAAAGTACACTTGATTATAAATGCTGCTAAATTAATCCAACTTCTATATTTTAAAAATGCCTTGACTTCAAAATTTAAGTATAAGGATATGTTACTCGGAAAAGGAGTTTTAGTTTATGTTTCCACAGAAAGTGAAAAGCTGAGGATTCCTTCCAGGCTTCTGTGGTTTGATGAACCAAGACCCCCGGAAGCAGTGGGCCAGATGTTCCAACAATTGAGACAGCTAAGATGATGCAGCCTTACAGACCACGAAAATAAGGACTTATACATGTTTCTGAGTTTTGTCATGATCCTCATGGTATGAACAGCGCCCCCTTCCAGCATGAAGCAGTTTGGAATGAGCGACATCCTAATTCCCATCTTGTTTATAAATCTTTGTCTTCATTTAAATGGGGTTGTTTATGATTGGCTAATGATCACAGCCAATCTCTTGTTAATGGTAAAAAGGGGAATTATGTTATGGGCATTGTTTTTCATTTATTGAGACAAAATCAAGGTCAATTTTGTGATGCTTATATTTCTCCTCTTGATTAAGTATTGTGCTTATACTGTTCTTTTAAAACATAATACATAAATGAATACAGACTATAGATAGTTACTTATAATAGAATTTATAGTTAGGTAAGTTAGGTTTTCTAGATATACAGAAATATATTTGAGATAGATATGCTTCAAAACTTTCAAAGACCTTCAGAAAATGGCATTTAAAATGGTTTAGGGTTTTTCTTGACAATGAGAAATGTCTGCTCTGGGCAGCACCAATTATGTCTGAGAGGAAGATGGGCATCGAAGAAACTTGTTATGGAGTTTGCTTTCAACATGGCAAGATTAGCCATTTAGGCAAGAAACTGCTCTTGCCTGTACTGCTTGACTGTTGTTGTATAATCTGGACATGCAGGACCCACAGGAAAGTGACTGCTGAACTCAGTCTTACAGGGTTCCTGCTTCACGGAAGAGTCTACCAGACTTTCTGCAGGACACAGAAAAATGACTGACAGACTGCCAATGCAGATGGACAGTTTGAAATTTCCTGCTTTGCTGAGAAATCTTCTGGACACATTGTGGCCTATGGGCTGAAGATGGATGCCCCAACATTACAGAGGAACTTTGGGTGACTGTCCAGGCAGTAAGATATCTCTGTCAATCCTAGTGTACATATTATCCTTCTGTGGTCTTTGATGGAGTTGAAGACAGATAGTTATAGTTTTCCTTAGTTATGATAAAAGATGAGCTAAATGTAGAACTTTGGACTCACAAGGATGGGATGGACGATATTTTCTTTAGATCTTGCTAAATGTTAATAGACAAAATGTTGTAACTGTGTTCTTACTTGATAACTGTTCTGTCATATACAATTTGACTATGTTAAAGTTAAGACCTTTCTTTTTGTTTAAACAGAAAAGAGGAGATGTTGGGGAAGTCCTGTGTATATATCAATAAATTACTGCTGGCCAATAGGAATCTAGATAGGTGGGGCTAGGAGTCCAAGAGGATTCTGGGATGGAGAAACACAAGAGAGTTCGAGATGTAACGCCATGGGGTAGGAGCCCGGAACTATTCTCTGGTAAGAGACATACATAGATTAACAATTATGGGGTAATTACTTAAAGCAGAGCTAGCCAGTAAGAGACAAGCAAGGCCAACAGCTTCATAATTAATATAGCCTCCTGTGTGTTTATTTGGGACTGATGCGGATCTGGAACCAGGCGGGCGGGAAGGCTCCTCTCAAGGAAAGCTTCTCTTAACTGTCTGCCTTCACTGGGATCTCTTGCAAACCATAGATATTTTAGGAAGAAGGTGATAATTTCAAATCTTCATTTGTGTGTCTTTCCATTCTAGCTTAGATTCTTAGACTAGCCACATTTTAGAAGAGCTGCTCAGGGATCTTGAGAATCAGCTCTAGGGCATGGACATGTTGGTGTGGGTGGTTCTGGGCACAAGGAAGCTTGGGGTGAGTGGGCAGGAGAGAAGGAAAGAGTGGATAGAGGAATTCCATAAACACAGAGCTACTCTACCCTCCAGCATGCTCTCCTTTTCAAGCGAGGCTCCTCGTCAGGTGGCTACCTGACTATGTGAACTGAAACTCCCAGGAGGATAGCCATCCTATGGTAAACACTTTTCAAGGCTGGCAGACTGAATTGAACTTTGTGATTGTGAAGTATTGGAACATTGCAATTCCAAGGCCAAATTATGTTGACCTAATTTTAGTCCCCTTGCTATCCATTTATTATCTTTGTGGACAAATACCCTGGTGACTACCATGTGAAATTCTCTGGGATGCACTACACTCAGATCAAGAGCTTTCACCAACCCAAAAGCTAAGAATGTCACCAGAGAGCATTGAAGGGATTAGCCAATTCCTGTCAATATATTCCAAAAGTGCCTCAATTCATGACTTTCTTTTATATGTAACTAAAACTTACATAAACAGTTTCTACATTGCACATGCTATTTATTTTATTTTTTTTTATTTTTTTATTTAGGTTAGAAACAATCTAGTTTCACATGTCAATCCCAGCTCTCTCTCCCTTCCCTCCTCCCCCCTCCCTCTCCACCAGGTCCCCCAGTCCCCCACCCAATCTCCACTCCAATCCCCAGGGAGGGTGAGGCACTCCATGATGGATCTCCAGTGTGCACATGAAGGGTTATATAAATCTGTGTTCTTGACCTATGGTCTCTCATATTTGACTCAAGAATAAACTATTTAATATTCTCTTTGAGAAGAGAAAATCTATTCTTTTAATTTAGGTTTATGTATTCTTATGCGTATGAACATTTTGTCTGCATGTATGCATGTGTACCCCTGATGTCAGAACTTCTGGGAGTTCCAAGTATTTCCGAGCCACCGTGTGGGTGCTGGGACTCGAACCCGGGTGATCTGCAATCACAACAAGTGCTTCTAACCACTGAGTCACCTCTGCAGCCTGAGAGCAGTGTTTGCACTGACAGAGCTTCTGACAGTCCCCCACACTGGTGCCTCTGTTTTTGCAGCCCTGCCCTCCTTCTTCCGTCTTTCTGGGAAGACTCTCCTGAGATTGGGCGGGGAGACGGCTTTGAGAAACGCCAGGGCTGGACCGAACACACCCAGCTTATTTCCTGTACCCTGCTCGCCCCCTCATTTTACACCCCCGCCCCACTTTCTTCAGTTCCTTTTTAAGGCTTGGTCTAAAGCCGCCCCTACCTAAATCCACTTTAAAACCGTGCTCAGCTGTTCCTGCCGTAGTTTCTCTTCTAGTTCAAAGTTTTCTTGTCTCCCATGCTGGAGGACGGGCTGAGAAACCAGCAGGCACAGTGCAAAGAGCCCCAAGAAAAGGGGCCTGAGCCTGGCCAGAGCTGATTTCTGCAGGGCATGGGCCAGACTCGTAATCTTGACACCTTTCTGCATGTGGGGAATACGTGGGGAATTCACTGTAGCTGAAACATGACTTGGGCAGAGTCTGACCCTGAGTTTCAATAAGGTACAAGTATTGATGCCTGTTGTGGCTGCCTCACAGGTCTCTGGTGTCATCAGGATCTTGGGACATCCTGTCCAATGCCAGGAATTGAGTTGGCTTGGTATGGTCTCCTTGGGATAGTGGCCACAAGAGTTCACAAAATTATTGTTTACCTCCATTCTGATGATCAGAAATAGCTGCCTCAGGGGTTGTGACTAACCTCCTGCAGCTCCCACCTATGTCTTGGGTGAAGGAAACAGTTCATTTAGACTCAATAAATTAGAATGAGAAATGGGCTCAAAATGCCTGACACGAACAAGTGTGAGGAGAAATCCATCCTTTCAAGCTAACGAATCTCTCTCCAGTGGGGGAGAATTTGAAATTTCATACCATGAATTTACCATGAGGGAAGACAGGCAGGAAAAATGGGACTAAAGTATGGATCTGGTCTCATAGACTTTCTGCCGACCCATGCTTGAATGGGTGTCTGTGTCTTAGTTCCTGACTGAATCTCAATGATTGGGTTTTAAGAATCAAAGATATAGTAATACATACCATATTAAATACAGTGCTTTTTGTGTGAGGAGACAGATTAAAGGTACCTTTGATTCTCCAGTTGGGTGTGGTGGCGCACACCTTTAATCCCAGCACTCGGGAGGAAGAGGCAGGTGGATCCTTATGGATTCTAGGCCAGCTTGGTCTTCAGAACAAGTTCCGGAACAGTCCCACAATGGTACTATGGTGCCTCAAGGAAAAAAAAAAGCACCTCATACAACTTCCTGTTTCTGGTTTTCACCCCTGAATGAAGGAAAGGAAGTCCCCTGCCTTCTCTCACAGTTGTCTCCAGTGTTCCTGGCAAGCTTTGCAAAGTAGCATGTGCTGCTTCAGAAAATGGGAATGGTGTCTGGTCCTGGAACTGCTACTCCTCCTGCCTCTGATAACAGGACTTCCAGGTAGTTTCCACCAAGCGTCTGCTTGTGGTTGTGCACTGAAGGCACGGTCAGCCGGGAAAGGGGAGATGGGATGTAGTTCAACCTAGACATGGGTGGGCTCTTGGGCAGGGTTCTTCCATGCTGGTAGCAGGGCTGTGGGAAGGCTAGGGAGCATTCTTTAACTCTGGAAAAATCAGGCCCTGTTTCTTTTCGCAAGGGGACATGAGAAACAGGACCCGGGGAGATGGGGAAGTAGGTCCCCCATACTGTAACTCATGGCTGTGAAATTACAGGAACATACTTTTAAGAGAAGCTCTCTGCTGGGGAGTGTCCCATTGTTTGGTTGCCATGTTTTCCATTTGGAAGCAATGTGTCCCGTTATGTGTTGGGAACTTTATTTATGTAAGGGGTCCTGCCCTGAGCTAAAATAAAAGGTAATTACTTTAAAAACAGAAAAAGAAAAGAAGCGGTAAATTACTGTGTCAGAGATGGACACAAATGTCAGCACTGTAAGGAGAACAAGGAGCTATGGAGGAGCAGAGCCAGACCGCGATGGTGTAAATCTTAGGGAGACGAGCTAGCCTCGTGTGGAGGAGAGGTGACTGACATTCACACCATGCTTAGAGCCTGTCATTCTTGGCACAGACTGGCTTCAAGTCTACGGATGCACTGTCTGTAGGGCCCTTTGTAACTTACACTGACCACCTTGGGCTGCTTTAGCTCATAGCACAGAATTACGGCTGCTAACATCTGAACTGGTAGGATGAGTTGGTTAACTCTTGAGAAAGTCGAACTTAACTTGGTTGTTTTCCCACAAAGGAGCATTGTTCTTAGCTCTGGACCTTTCTGTCTAGAATTCCGTGCACCCTCAACACATCCTGCCTCACCACGGGCTTCCATTTGCATGCATCTTCCTCCTGGAAACCCTGGGCTTCAGACTGTAGCGTATGACTTGTTTGTTTCTATCTTCTTGAGTCAGCATCCTACTTCTCAGCCACAGAACCTGGAGCACACCATACACTCAGTCAATAACCGTTAAACAAATGAATGAGTAACTTCAAAAACTTCATTTGGTCTACAGGTCCATAACTTCATGAGTGTTTGAGTTTCTTCTCCTTCGTAATGTTTGTCTTCAGGGCAAAGTTTGAGATGCACTCTTTACATTTCTTCCCTCAGCTGCCCTTTTCAAGGGGATGATTCACAAGTATCCTCTACTCCTGTGGGGCATTCTGCTCTCTCCTTACAGGAAGAAGGGTGCCCTGGAAATGGCATGATGCAGGAAACCCAAAGAGCTGTTTCCTGTCTGGGCTCTGTCCTTGGGGCTTTTTAAATATCTCCTCCACTCTAAAATGGGCATGATATCATACTTTCTATGTCTCTGAGGAACTTCTAGTCAGACTCAATAAAGTTTTAAAATAGGAAGATTCACTGAGGACACACATGCATTAGATAGGAATGGGAGATCCGCATAAATGAACGCTCAGACCCCAAACTCTTGCCTGTGCCTCAGTCTGAATTTCTGTTCTTCTTTTCTTAAAGCATCGAGTCTAGACTTTCCAAACACGCGTTGAGAATTTGACTCACCATTTTTGTTCTGACTTTTTCTTTTCTTGCTGTTTAACCCTTTGAAGCATTGGTGCCAAAAATAATCGCTCCAACTAATTTTACTCATGAGCTGGAGGTGGGTTTTACTAGGTTACTTTTCCTTTTAAGGAATCCCTCCTACTTGCAGCAGGATCATGGTGGAGCCTAGAGTCATTTGGAGGTCACATTCATGCGCATGGCCAGTGTCTAACTGACTGTAGTACCTCCTATGGTCACTTAAGACAAACCAGCCAATAGTATCTATTATTTCTCACCTAGCTTTGTAAGCCACACTTCAGAATTCTGTTCACTAAGGCAGTCATTAAGTCCTATCCAGCTCCAAGAGGAGGGGTACATCATCATTATTGTTCTTTTGAGACAGGTTCTCTTGGAACCCAGGCTGACCTCATGCTTGCTGGGTAGCTGAGAATAACCTTGAACTCCCCATCTTACTGCCTCTACTTCCTAACTGCTAGGATTACAGATTTAGACCACCATACCTGGCCTCAAGGGGAAGGGTCCAAAAGCATATCTGTTGATGGGAGGGGTGTTAAAATGAAAATTTGGGTGATAGGACCTCTGATATGTCAAATACTTTGTCACTGAGCTACAACCTCAGCTCCAACTTAAAATAAAATTCCCATAGCCAAGCATGGTGGCACATGCTGTTAATCTCAGCACTCTGGTGGATCTCTGTCAGTTCCAGGCCTGTTTGGTCCATATAACAAGTTCCAGGACATCCAGGGCTCTAGCTTGAGAAACTGAACAAGTGGAGGACCTTAAAAGAAAGGTCCTGTCTTAAACAAACAAAATTAAAAAAATATATATATATATAAACAAAAGCCCTTTCATAGTTTCTCTCTGCCCCAACTTTTCTGCTTTCATTGTCATCTACCTCAATTAAGAGCACCTCCACTTGTTCAGTTTCTCAAGCTAGAGCTCTAGTAGTTATCCTCGGTTCTTTTCTTACCCTTGCCTCTCACAACCAGATATGTGTTAGTCCATCTACCCCCACTGCCGTTCGTCTTGGACCAGAGGACCACTTTCTGGTGGTGACCAACAGCAGCACTCACCAATCCTAACTGCTCTTTTCCGTCCGTTCTCTGTTCCTAGCTGGTTTTGAATACTGCTATTGGTGTAAATTTTCTAAAATAGTTATGCTTGTTTCACCCGTTTACGAAAAACTCCTCCGTAACGGCTACGGCAAACGGGAGAGCCCAAACTCTGAGCACCAGTTCGTATGTCATCTTGCAGTCGCCTCCTGCCCTCACCTCATCTGTGCTCATCTGTGCCGCTGTCATCTTTGAGTGCTGGGTGCTATTGCCAGGCAGGTGCATCATTAGAGTTAGGGAGAACTACCCTAAATTTGGCCCCACCTCCATGGGGCACCCTATATGAAGGGCAAGGATGGGCGAAGCTTTTGCTCTTTGCCCGCTAGTCCTCACTAGTGCTGGCACTGACTTGGAGCCCACTTTTTCAGGATTCACTTGTTACTGAAGACCAGCTGAGACATTCATCCTCACAAACTGAGTAACCAACTACTGGATTCTTGGACTCTGTCAGGAGACAGTCATTGCTGTGTTAGCTGGGCCACAACCTGTGAGCCACTCTAATAAATCCCTTATCTATTAAGTCATTCTATCAGTTCTGTGATTCTAGAGCTTTGTACCACAATTTAAGCCATTTCGGTCCCTAAATCAAGCAACAAAACAGAAACCTCTCTTCACCTTCTACGTCCTTTCACATGCCCTGTCTTCCTTCCCATCCACACTTAAATGTCTTCAAAGGATGGCTGATTTCTGTTCCTCCTTTTTTACATTCAGAATTCCATGTCAAATCAGCCTACTAAACTCATATTCCCTGTCTCAGAAAGATCACCCTGGGTATTGTCACCAAGACCTAGATCTAGGGTACTAATACCTATTGCCAAATTGGTTCCTAAATGGTTATACATAGGCTTCTTAAATGTTTGGTCTCATCAGGGAGCTCCCGGTGACACCACACCAATGCCTTCAAGACTCATCTCCATCTCTTCTTTAAGAATTTTACTAAAAATGGTTTTAGTAATCAGAACTTCTTTAGAACATTTTTCTCTTTCCTGAGTAATGCCTTCATATGAGATTATGAGCACACACCCTGTGTGTGTGTGTGTGTGTGTGTGTGAGAGAGAGAGAGAGAGAGAGAGAGAGAGAGAGAGAGAGAGAGAGAGAGAGAGAGAGAGAGAGATTTAAGGGGCTCTGGATGTAGTACAGAATGACCTTGAACTCATGATTACACCGAGTCAAACTTTCAAGTTTGGGATACAGTCATATGCTATCACAGCAGATATAATTATGCTTTTCTAACAGACAGGTAACACAGATAAACAGAGGCAGAATTATTTCTATCCCTATTAAAAACTACAGGAACATACTGTAACTTTGTTTTCAGTACCTAGACACACTACCAACAGTTTTGTAATATTATGTTAAAACCAATAGTCATCGGTCCCTTTACTCTTGTCTCATCTGTCTTCTGAAAAATAACTATAACCACCAACGGACCACTTCCTTATTCTTGCAAGCAGCCATACCCAGTGATTAGGTCAGCCTTTTTAGAATTGTTATATGCATATGGTTGAGGAGGAAGATTCAACATCCTGTTCACTGCTTCTCCCTGCTCTCCCACGGGGGAAAGGGTCAGGGGCTTATTTTCCTCTGTCATCATATCGTGAGCTTTTCCATTTCTTGAGTGTACATCTGAGACTTGTCAGAGGCTGTCCTAGATGACTAAGTTAGTTCTTCATGGATGAAGGTGGGGGACTTTTGTCCCAAGGCCTGAGATGCCTTTGGTTATCTCCAATAAGGAAGTGCTACCGGTACCTGGTGGGCCGAGGCCAGAGTTACTTAGAACCTTAGATTCTTAGAATCACAGAACAGACTTCTCCTTTACCGAAATGTTTATTATTTGGCCCTAAATACCAAAGTATCAATAGTAAACAACTGACTGAGGCTCCATATTAAAATCACATGGAAATAAGGATGAGGGTAAATGGGGAATACGTGCCTAAGGACTTAAAATCCTGGACATGGTGACACATGGCTGTTATCCCAGCATTTGGGATGCTAAGCCAGGAGAAGCTGCTATTTCAGGCCATCTTTGACTACATGGTGAGTTTGATGTCAGCCTAGGTTACATGACACTATCTAAAAACAGCTAGAACAAAAAGCCCAGTGGGAATGTTCTCTTATGCTATGTGCTCTAAGAGCCAAGCGCCTGAACGCATCACTGCCATCAAAGCCCAGAGATACCAGGGCATGTGGTTATACAGTATCTGTTGTTTAGACTGAAATGATTCTGAGAGCCATGGTAAGATATGGACTGGACCAACCAGAAGCAACTTGGAAACAAGTGTCTGGGTATGTCTGCGCAGGTGAAAGGCCAGGGCAGTCGGCGTA